TTGTATAGTTCAAGAAATAATTCAAATGGCAAAGATATGATGAATATTTACAATTATTACAATGCGTCATTAACACATGCTATTTCCTAATATACATTAAGAGTGTTATGGGTCATTATTTTTCAAGTAGAAAGATCGGTTAGAAAATGCTGTAGTATAAGAAATGAAAAATAGTCAGTTAATCTATAGATTACTATGAATTAATTATATATATACGACTGATATTTTTTTCCTTATGGTAGCAGTATAAAATATATTATACCTATAATAGAAATTCTTATAAGATTTTATACACCTGGTTGGACTTTTTCTTCCTTTATCTAGGTTGCATTACAATTTAATGTAGCCACCGTATTGATTCATGTAAATATCTATCGGTGTGATGCCCTGTGTCATGCTTGTTCCTCAATGAAATTGAACAAGACAGATTTTAGCATCACGTGCTTATCATGATGCAATGTGTTCTAAGTATTAAAAAGTAAGACATGCCTTACACCAACGTGTTCGCTGATAAGTCATTTTAACAGAAGGAATCCAGGGATCTTAGTATATAGTAGCATTATAGTGTAGTGCGGTCTTTCATGACAATTAACATTAACAGAGAATTCAAATATACATTTTCATTATTTTTGGTGATATATTAACTATGTTTTTTAAAATGTATTTTTGTCCATTCTTTAGCTTATGTAGAGACGTGATTCTTTCAGATCTCAAAACTAAAAGTCTGTACTTGGTCAAACAAAGCTCTGTTCTATAAAATGGTTATGCAAAAAGCTCTCTGCTGAAGTGTTGAACTTAAAAAAAAAAATTATTTGCATCTGTATGACGAGAGCTAAAACTTGAAAGTACGTCTATCATTGAATATTATTTTAAATTTTTATTTTAAACTGAAGAACTACACTGTAAAAAAAAAAAAAATATTTTTTTATTCATTTTTGGGTTTTCTTTTTTAACATTATTTTACTGTTTTTATGGTCTGTTGCTGTCTTTTTTAAAACAAAAAAAAAAAACAACAAAAAAAAAAACAAAAAAAAAAAAAATATTTTTCTAGTCATATTCGGGTTTTCTTTTTCAACATTATTCTACTGTTTTTATGGTCTGTTGCTGTATTTTTTAAAAAAAAAAAAAAAAACAACAAAAAAAAAAAGCAATAAAAAAAAACAAAACAATAGCACAATGTCAAATAACAATTCGGTGTTAAGTGGATATGACGCCAACATTTTTTTAAAAATTTGAAAAGTTTAGTGCATTTCTCTGGCTTTTTTTTCTCTTTTTTGTTTGTTATTAAAGGCATTTTTAATCCAAGCGTCCACTTCATTGGTCTGTCCTTTGACGGGTTTTCCTCTACCCTTTATAATATATTTCTTATTGCTCTAATAAAACAAGAGGGTATATGAAATTTTTGAATAAACTTGATATCATTAGTTCCCTCCAGAGCACCACAAATCCTAATAATCACTGGAGGATAATACATCAATCTGACACAACTTTGGACGCTGATGCGATCAAAAAGCGCATTGCTTCGGCGCCAAAAACTCAACTTTTAAGACGTACTTAGTTACGTTATAGCGGTTCCATGCATTTTTTAAATTCTCAATTTTCTGTTCCTTTTTATTCAATGGATCCATATACAAAAAGTTTTCGTTTTTTCTTTAATTGAGATATCATTCGCGACCTACACCTTTCACTCAGAGTAGAGTCAGCCATGTCCTTAGACTAGGACTGCACAAAATACGACCCACATGCGGCCCATGAGCAACCACTTTGCGGCCCGCGAAGTAATGAAATATTCTGTATTATTTTCTTAATAGCTGCCAACCCCCCTCCCTCATCATATTTTCTCTGGGCCCGCACAAGATTTTCATAAATATTACGGTACGGCCCACCTTACATTTTGAGTTGTGCATGCCTGATTTAGACACAATGTTGTCTTTTGTGGATTCCCCCCCCCCCCCCCCTCGTGCCAATAAAAAGCGATCATGTGATCAAACTATCTGATGCAGGGCTTAATTTGCTTGACGCCCGTTTTTCATAAAAAAATCTCTAAACGCGCCTCGTTGAACTCTGCAACACACCGTAATGTCAGTTTTGTTATATTACCGAATTAGAATTTAACAGTCTCTGTCATAGAACACACAGGGCAAAAGAATAAGAGAAAGACAACGAAACAAAAGGAGACGTAAGCCTCAAAGAGTGGATGTGAGATTTGACAAGAAATGGCATGAGCTGGACATAATAAATAGCCCAGAACTTAGGTCATCAGAAAGAATGATCTATTCTATTATCCACTGGTAAGAAAATGGCAAGACTTTATTTGAGATGGAGATGACAGCTCATAACTGCGATAAATAGAAATAATGTTCTATGCACCACTAGGAGGAAAATGGCAAAAAACGAAGGCAGTAATACATGTTTGCCATTGTCCATTAGCCCCGGTGTTGTTTATTATTGTCCATTGGCCCCGGTGTTGTTTACCATTGTCCATTGGCCCCAGTGTTGTTTATCATTGTCCATTGGCCCCGGTGATGTTTATCATTGTCCATTGGCCCCAGTGTTGTTTATCATTGTCCATTGGCCCCTGTGTTTATCATGGTCAATTAGCCCCGTGTTGTTTATTATTGTCGATTGGCCCCGGTGTTGTTTATCATTGTCGATTGGCCCTGGTGTTGTTTATCATTGTCCATTGGCCCCGTTGTTGTTTATCATTGTCCAGTAGCCCCAGTGTTGTTTATCATTGTCCATTGGCCCCGGTGTTGTTTATCATTGTCCATTGGCCCCGGTGTTTATCATTGTCCATTAGCGCCGGTGTTGTTTATCCTTGTCCATTGGCCCCGGTGTTGTTTATCATTGTCCATTGGCCCCGGTGCTGTTTATCATTGTCCATTGGCCCCGGTGTTGTTTATCATTGTCCATTGGCCCTGGTGTTGTTTATCATTGTCCATTGGCCCCGGTGTTGTTTATCATTGTTCATTGGCCCCGGTGTTGTTTATCATTGTCCAGAAGCCCCGGTGTTGTTTATCTTTGTCCATTGGCCCCGGTGTTGTTTATGATTGTCCATTGGCCCCGTGTTGTTTATCATTGTTCATTGGCCCCGGTGTTGTTTATCATTGTCAATCTTATAAAAAAAAACAACTAAAAATCCGGTATTTGTCTTAGTTATAAATAAATCAGAATTTAAAAAAAACAAACAAATATATTCACATGGACTGTCAACAAATTACTACAAAAACAACTATTTTATTAATTCAGATTGCATGCAGTTGTATTAATCATAGATTATTTAACATATCAATACATGAAAAAATACGTACAAATTTAAGAATTAAACATATTTTGAAAAAAAAGAAATTTAAATGATTAATTACTTGTAAAATGGGTTATTATTAATAGTGCTCTTTTGACCTTTTTTTGGGTGAGGAGCCATTTCTTCTGGTTCTGGTAGTGTTCATTGCCGCATCCATGTACTGGCATCTTTACAATGGTTGGGGGTATGATGTTGCTATTCTAACAGCTCCAAACTGATGACAGGGAAGCCTTGAAGCTTTCGACCGATGTCAAGTTCACAGTGGCATCGTCCAGGTGGTTCCATGCTATTATTGTGCATGGGAAGAAAGATTATTGATACTGCACTGTGTTGCACTGTGGCACTTTGAAGCATTTGCTATTCTTTCGGGTGTATTTGTTTATGGGAATGTCAGTGGTGAAGTCAGTGTTCAGTGAGCGTTTTGCTCTGATCAGTCTATCCGGCTTCTGTGGAGTGAGGTACGTGCCTGCTGGTATGGCCGGCACCAGTCCCAGGATAATTTTTATAAGCTAAATCTGTTCAGAAAATATCTTGGGGTACCTCAGGCAGAAATGGATTGTTTAAAATGTTATTTTTGTTTATTAAAAAACAACAACAATCTATTCCTTCAAAGAGCAGCCTTGAGCAGACCCAACAACAACAATCTATTCCTTCAAAGAGCAGCCTTGAGCATACCCAACAACAACAATCTATTCCCTCAAAGAGCAGCCTTGAGCAGACCCAACAACAACAATCTATTCCTTCAAAGAGCAGCCTTGAGCAGACCCAACAACAACAATCTATTCCCTCAAAAAGCAGCCTCGAGCAGACCCAGCAACAACAATCTATTCCTTGAAAGAGCAGCCTTGAGCAGACCCAACAACAACAATCTATTCCTTCAAAGAGCAGCCTTGAGCAGACCCAACAACAACAATCTATTCCTTCAAAGAGCAGCCTTGAGCAGACCCAACAACAACTATCTATTCCTTCAAAGAGCAGCCTTGAGCAGACCCAGCAACAACAATCTATTCCTTCAAAGAGCAGCCTTGAGCAGACCCAACAACAATCTATTCCTTCAAAGAGCAGCCTTGAGCAGACCCAACAACAATCTATTCCTTCAAAGAGCAGCCTCGAGCAGACCCAGCAACAACAATCTATTCCTTCAATGCCTTGAGCAGACCCACAGCCAGGAGTCAACAAGGTACATGTATAATATTAGCTGATGCTATTTTTAGCAATAAATAAGCCAGTCATTGAATTTAAAATTAAATATGCTTTAGGCCTACAGCTTATCAAATCTGGCTCTTGCATGGTTCCCTAACCAACTTTTAAAAACGAAAGAGTACATTGTCCAATGTTGTTAACTAAGACAAAACTTGATTTTATCAATTCATTAATAAAAAATATTATATACATGAAACTTTCAATAAACTAACACAGTTCTTGCTATGGCATTTACATGATTTATTTCTTATTACGTAACAATGAGTTATTACAATTTATGTTCATCATTAATACAGAGGAACCCTGCTGCAACAATCCCCCCCCCCCCATCTAATCACAAATTTGGATACAATGTAACTGTGGCATGGCTCCCTTAATAACATACAAGCACGTTTTAAAAAATGGATGTTCTTGTACAAAACAATTCCAAATGAGTTATTACAATTTATCTTCATCATTAATACAGAGGAACCCTGCTGCAACAAACCCCCCCCCCCCATCTAATCACAAATTTGGATACAATGTAACTGTGGCATGGCTCCCTTAATAACATACAAGCACGTTTTAAAAAATGGATGTTCTTGTACAAAACAATTCCTAACAGCCCAAAAAAAAAATGCAACTGCAACATCAAATCGCTCACACTGACCACAAGATATTCAAGAAATTTTAACAAAATCACTCATCTCCATACTTTGAAAAAAACAAAAAAACAATGGTTTTGGCAAATAATATTGGAAGTTCAGATAGTAATATGACTCTGATTTCAAAGTGACCCAATTTTATCAACCCCAATTAACTTGATATATGGTAGTGGTGTTCCATTGCAGCTGGTATTACAATATTCTAAAATCCAAATTAGCATACTAACATGATCAAATTTTATTTTTTTATGGACCCGGATAGTAGGGATCCACTGCAGCTGGTATTAAAAGAAATGACAGCTTTCCATTCTCTCAGATCCCAACCCCTCATTCTCACGGAGGGAGAGAGAAACCAATTAAGGGTGGCCTGCTGAAACATCTGGTGAAGGTATGACAGGCCAAGAAAACTGGCAGCAGAAGTAAAGTGCTCAAATAACAAAAATAAACATAGGAAAAATGTAATCTTTTGTCCGCAGCCTGGCCAAATGAAAATCAGTTCATATATGCGCATCATATTCAGCTGTAAAATTTCATTAGCAAATTTTTTTAAGTGACTAACAATAAAAGCATTGAAAGACACAATTTGTCATATTTTGTGTATAGTCATAGATAAAAGTTGAGATTTTTTAAAAAGTATTAAGTTTCTTCAAAATGATAATGTGAGGAACACTACATTAATGATTGGCTTGGTTCTGAAGGAGATTTTCCATCTTGGCATTGACCAAGTCCTGCCCATCTTTCAAGTCCTTCAGAAGTTTCTTCAGCTCACTCATTTCATCTTTCATGGCAGACTGCATGACATCATGTCTCTTCAAGGTCTTTTCAACAGCCGCTAGATTTCCTGGGACTGCATCTAAGGCCCAAAACATGAAAATGAAAAACATTTTCACACGGTGGGTTGCAAAAATTGAATAAAAAAATGAACTGTTACCAAATCCAATTTATCAAAATTTAAAAAAAATTGTACATAATTATCAAATAAAACACAAAAGTCAAATTCTTTAAATATATATTTTGAGAAATAAATGCATTTTATAATTTGTTAAATCTTTAAAAAAAATAATAGAAAAAACACAATTTAAAAAAAATGTTTTGAAATATTTAAGAGAAAATTTGTGAAATCTCTTTTGAAAATGTTATTGAACAGACATTAACAGACCTTTGTTTTGAATGTTGGTTCTTGGAGTTTGGTAAATTTTAATATGCTCAACATCAGCTGGATCTGGTAAGAAATTATTTTATTTAATATTTGTATTAGAGGTAATGATATAACATTCAAATTAATTGAAATCATTCTAACAAATCAGAAGAACAAATGTAGATCAATAAAATAGTGGATCAAAACTAACAATATTACTGTGATTGGCAAATTCCTATGCAGCATTTAAATAGGTATAGATATTAATTGAGAATAAAATATTGGTAACTTATCATCATGTGGAATTAATGAAATCCTATTTTTCCAGTACTCTCCTGTTAACCTACTATTTTCTTGTAATTTTTATTTGAATTTGCCATTTCCTGTCAACAGCATCCCAAAATTTCTTAGAAATTATTAGAGAGAGGTGTCCTTAAAAAAAAGGCTTTCATGTTCAATTTGAATAACTTCTGGTTTGCTTCCACTTTGCTAAGTTGTAATTTTATTCTCCCATGTCTTTGATTTTTTTTGCTGATGAAGGATTTATGGTAAAATTTCCTTTTGATTGTGATTTTTCTGGGTTTTACAAACCCTATCCTTACTATTTAATTCACATGGCTTGAATGCAGTCCCTACCATATTATTAATTTTAAATACCTCTGTTGGTTACTGCTCCTTGTGGTACTGGGTAGAGGACAATGGGTTGAGAATCATTTGAGCCTGGAGAAGCAATGCATATAAGAATTATAATGGTTATCAAAATACAAACAATAAGTTGAATTTAGGTAAATGGCATCAGTTTTCGAAGTTCATTAATAACCAGACGAAATGAAACAATAACTTTAAAAGCCTCTTCTCTGTGCTAAATCATATTGAGTTTTTTAAAGTCATAGAATAACATTTTTATAGCTGGAATTTTTACCTCCTGAAAACTGATGTTCATATGCTGGTGGATTATAACCCGAGCCTGTCTGACGATGGGTCATCGACTCCACCAAATCTGAAAAATGATTAATGAATTCAGTATTAACACCAACGGGTTGAATTTTTGTCATTGCTTTACAACACTTAAAACAAAGTATCCCTCTGCTTTGTGGATATATTGTCTTAATTATCTGATGATATCAAACTATTCATACCTCTCACTGTTTGCTTGCGTTGAAAAACATGTTTCCTGAGAATTGGATTGCCTCTTGAATCATCTGTAAGTGCAAACACGGCAAAATGCATTCGCTGACTCCATAAGGAATGCTCAAACAGATTTAGAATGTGAATAATAGAGTAAGGAAAAGCGTGTAACATATTAAGCTACCATGGTGGTAACAGAGATATGAAATAATTACCATGTGCTGGTGCAAGAAAGCACTAAGTCATGCATATTCAAGGTATAGTTGATATCAGTGGTTCTTAAGTACCTGTATTTAAAGTGGAGCCAGTTTTCACATTATTTTAATTATGCTTAACTCTGTTTGTATAATAAAGTCTTGGTTTCTCAAAATGTTCAAGCTGTTCTATCATTATAATTGATCTTGAATGATTATACAATCGTTGGAGTGCAATAAACCATATCCACAATGATGGCAAAATGTTTTGTTTTTTTAAACACTATACTGGCGACACTTACGTTCCATTTTTTCCTACCTAGCGCTTATAAGAGAATATTTTTCCCCTTTCTTTAAAGGCTTTCATATATTATTATTTTCTTTGACTTTTCATCAGCTTTTAACTCTATCCAACAACACCTAAAGATTAAAATCTTTCTTTGTCAAGTGTCAATTTAAATATTCAATCATGGATACTGAAATTTTTATCAAATCACCCACACTTTGTCAAAGTGAATGGTCATATATCATTAACTAGAGAAATAAGAAATGTGGCACCACAAAGTTGTGCCTTCTCCTGTTTTGAGGAGATATATATATTCCCATATCCAGAGCCCAAGCGACACTATTCATATCAATAAATCTGTTAACAATACCACAATTGATGGCTTAATATCTGAAGGGGAAATTATATAGTGCAACTTATTTACAAGTTTTAGAAGCTGGTGTGATGAAAATTTTCTTTAACTGAATGTGTTTTTAAAAAAAAAAGAAAAAAAGAAAAACAAAACAAGTCAAAAGGGATGTCCATATCGCAAGTACGGCTCACCAAATTGTGGATCTAACCATAAAAATCACAGCATAGAGCAAACACTGCCATGTAAATTCCAAGGTGTCACCATTAATAGTAAGCTAACATGAAATGTCCACGGCCTAATTCCAAGTAAAAAAAAATTAAACAAAGACTTTTAAAAAAACAAAAAAAACTACCAACTTTGACAATTAAAAACAAATTATTAACCAATAGTACACTGCAACATTTAAAAGCCTACTATAATTCAGTACTTCCTGCTGTTGTGGCCCTGCCTCACTTCTTATCAAACACAGATTAATTAGACTTGTCAAGAGAGAATGTAATATGGCTCAAACAAAATCATCTCCACTTGAAGAACTCTGTAAAGCTTGAGCAATATCCGTTTGTAAAATCAAAAACACTTTTGGCAGATACATCCCAACCTCTTCATATCAGATACCTAGGGTAAACTCAATCAGAGCAAATTCTTTCCTTTAAAGTAAAGGACTGAAAAATAAAAAAATTTAATTTGTTCCCAAATCTGTAAGAATTTCGTAGCATGCTCCTTCATCTGTTTAAAATTCTAAATAATCACGCTAAATTAAAATCAATATTGTCAATTATTGAGAGAAGGCCAATGGCATATGACTGTTGATTTTTGGGCTTGAGTAATGCCTTTAGATTTCTTGTGTTAAATTGTTCTAGTTTTAAACCGTTTGTCTTTGTAAGAATATTTACAGATGTGCTGAAAATTTGAAAATGAATACATACATTGTAATAAAAAAGTTTTACCTCTAATAACTGGATTCCTCTGTGCTTGGGTTTCAGGAAAGTCTTCTGGAACTAAAAAAAAGATTGGACAGAAATTTATAATCTTACAAAGACTGAAGTGACTGAAGGTCCAATATTCTCCACAATTTCTCATATAAATCCCCTTGTCCACATAAAACCCCTTTATCAATCAAACAACCACATATACCTCATACAACACTCATTTTACCCAAATTCCTAATTAAATTCCCTCATTTTACACTGAAGGTAAGGTCTGAAACTCAAGGAGTCTGTCTAGTTTTATTATACCATTACATTTTCGTCTCCTAATTTTTGAAAGTACAGAATATTTAACACATTTTTTTTTTATTACTTATTTATCTTTGCAAGCATTTACAAGTATAAGTTTGTGATACTGCATCAAATGGAATTAAAAAAAAATATAAGCATAATGCTTTCAACTGCTGAATTTAAATCTGTATATATGACAACAAAAAGAAAAATCAGGTTTTCATTCCCATCAAATGAGATATCCCCCCCCCCCCCCCCCCCCCCCCCCCTNCACCTGCATTTTAAAAAAACAAACGCTTATTTCAATTTATTTTCAACTATGATGTACAAGGGGCTATTGAAAGAGGTGGAGGTAAACTGTGCTGAAAGTTATGTCCATGTTTTCTCCCATTTATTTTCATCTGAATGAGTACACCCCGAATGGGATGAATGCATACCAAGATGGAAATTGGTCACTAGGCTGAAAGCTGCAGTTGCAATATTTAGAGGGTTCATTTGTGAATATGTAAAGCTGAACTATGACCATAGTTATGAAAATTTGAAGAGATATTTGTATGGCAATAAATAAACGGAAATCATGTGTATCATAAGGTTTCACAGATTGTTTAGTGACAGTTGGTGATATTGATATAAATAGAATAGGCTATTTATGTACTGTCAGAATTTCAGGATAATTGTTGTGCAGAATGTCTGCATAAAAGTATGTAAACATCCTGATGAGACCCATCCTCCAAATATGCTGCTCTAGAAAAAAATATCCAAATTTAACACCATCCTCCCGTGAACATAACATATAAATAGTCCAAGTATTGACATCCACCTTTTTTTTTATTATTGGTCCCTAATTGAATATAACAAAGGATATTGCTAGAATTTTTACATTTTAACAACAAATACCTTTTTTTTAAAAAAAATGGCTTTGTTTGAAATTTAAAAAAAATAAAAAAATTTCATTGTTAACTTACTTGTTGGATCGTTCTTTAATATTCCCATGATCTCAGTGATGCCTCTGAAATTATGATAAGGACATGTACAGTAGGCTCACTGTATTGCGGAGTCATTACTTGCAAATTTCTAATATAATCACCCATACAGATTTATTTTATGTTTTTAAAATTACATATGTGTAGGAGTGTAGAAAATGTTGAAGAGGATAGGGGGTATTCATAAGATTGTGGGAAGTTTTATAAGAGTGTTGGAGGGTTTATAAAGCCCTAAAAATATAAAATAATACATTAAATATAAGGTTGCTACTTCATGGATTTTGTCATATCCCGGGGGGAACCCACTGTATCTAGCATATCTTGTTAGACAAGCAAAAAAACACACTACATTTTGTACATTCAATGAAAATTCAATATTTTAAAATTTCATGAGTGCAGAATAATCTGGCCTGCAGTTTCTGATATAACTCACCCTATGGTTAGAATAATGCAAATTGTAATTATGATTGTTAAGGGCACAGAGGCTTTAAATTTCATTTTTCCAATATGTCAGAATCACATAAGAAGCTGTCTGAGCAAAATATAAAAGATTAAAACTTTGAACTAATCAATTTCAAAACTTACTGACATAATAACCAACATTTGTAACAAACAAACAATTTGTTTATTGTACAATAAAATCATTCCTGGTTACCTGTTAACATTCTGAATCTCCTTGGTGTAGACGTTAAGTTCAACAGTGAATTTATTTAACCGCCTCAGATGACCCTCAAGCCCAGATGGTTCTATGAACAATCGAATGAAACTTTGAAGCCAAGCTGTTTATTTAATTAACTTTGAACATTCTACTTCAATTGGAACTTGGAATTTATTGTATTTATCTTTATAAATTTGAGTAAAATTAATCTCATTTGCATGCATTATTGAAAGGCTTCATGAATGTTTTATAATTACTTTAATATTTTGGCATAGAAATTTAGTAACATTTAAAAAATAGGATGAGATTCTTTATTGATCCAAATAAATGGGATTGTTAAAAATTAAATCTGACATGTTCATTTACAGCTACATACATAAAAACTTATTTGAACCAAGACAATATTTTACATTTACAATAATTTAAACTCAGGACATCTAAAGAGACATCTCTAGCATAGAAATCAGCCATAAATGCACTCCTTTAGTCACTACAATGACTTAATTACTGATCATTAAGACTTTTTAACAGCTGGGGGAGCACACGTGTAAGTTTGCACAGACCGGAGAACAAAAGAACTTTTTATATCTTTCAATCCTGAATTTAAGTGAAAGAATTCACCCTGATGAAGTTGGTCTTAGGTATTTGTGATGGAGTCAGTGAAATGTAACATATTTGAATTGCTGCAATGTAAAAACTTGAACAGAAGGTGTAATTAATTCAATTCATCACTACCCTTTGACTGTCTTTATGTAATGGCATATCAATACGAATGAAATATAAAGACCTTGGTCATACTAAATCCAATACATACCTGCTTGCCTATAATCTCCTAGCATTTCAAAGAATCTGAAAATGATTTAAAAAATGATTTCAATAAAACTGTTCCGAACAAACAAAAAGAAAATACCAATCTGTTTCCTTCTAAATGAAAGCACAGTGGAACAAAATTATAATGCGATAATTGGGGTCCTTAAGAAATTATCCCATTATCAGTCAGATCGTGTGATTGTGGAGTTTCAAGCAAATAGCACTGGGGTTTTTATTAATATTAGTAGGATGAGTGGTTATTTTGTTAAAACAAAAGGATGTTTTTATGCTGTGTAATTTGGAGTTGTAGCTGGCCCAGTTTTAGAGGCTTTATGATTTTGTTGTATAAGAATTTATATTGTCTATAAAACTATTAAAACATATCTTACTTTCCGTCATCAATTTGTCTCTTCAAATATTCCACAATACTTTTTTCAAATGCATCCAGATTTTGTGAGTTGTTTTCTTGATTTTCATCTGAGGAATGAGTTATGTCAAATAAAATGTTCCTTATGTAACAGCAGTGCAAGTGTAATACCAATGGCCAATGTATCCTAAACCTGCATATTCTAAAGATAATTTTTTTTGTTCACTTCCTGGAGATGGGGGTTAGAATAAAAATAGAATTTTAAGAGATCTGCGATGATAAGATAATTTCTAAATATTTCAAGTACTTAATCTTACACAATTTAAAAAAACTTGTTTATAACAAACAATACGCAGGCATAAATAAAAATTCATATATTCTTAAGTTCAGTATTCTGTTCTTAATCAGTATATTCCTTTTTTAAAGATTCAGAGATGCAGGACTAACTTGAAAAGCACTTAATGCACCTCCTAATGATGAGGTACAAGGAGATGAGAACAAAAGGTGGCTGCAGGAAGATGATCTTGGAATATTCCATTGTAAGCTGAAACTTCTGATAGTGCCAGATCAGCAATGATTTGTCTTCTTTTTCCTTGATTGTAGAACTGTTTATAAACATAAAGCATTTGAATCTCTTTAAAAGATAATCATATCAATTGAATTAAAAATAAATAACATATCCAAATCTCTGAAATATCTTGTCCACAATGGGAATAGTGTTATACATGATAAATGTTGGTTACATTTTACCTTACACATTACACTTTTACAGTGTAGCACATACACTCTGTAGTAATACAAATCTTGTGGTAAATTTAAAGACAAATTGAAATAAACTTTCTTAAATGGCAAGTAGCCTAAAATAAAAACACATTAAAAGGCTACAGACTACTGTAATGATACTTACTTGAGCATGGCTATCAGTAGCTACTGACTACCGTAATGATACTCACTTGAACATGGCTATCAGTAAGTTAAAGAGCAGTATTTGCACCACCAGGATGTAGGCCCCTAAAACAGCTGGCACATAATATCTGCCAAAATCCGAAGGACATCTCACACCAGAGTAGTCATTGTAAATTGTTGGGTCATCTGTGCAGGAACTTTCTAGGAAAGCACAATAACAAATGCTTAGGAATAGATAAATTCATTAAAATTATATTTTAAAAAAAAAATAATACCTTGGCGGTATTTACTCTCAAGGGCCGTCAAGTTGGCAACATGAGAACCTTTGAGAGCAGTCTGGCAAAACTGACATCCAGGGGCATATCCTTTTTGTAAGAGCAGACACATGTCTGAATAGGCGTTCAGTAGCAGCGCTGTACTTCCCACGCACAAAACCACAAGGTGGCGCATCCATCTTCTGACTAATGATGTGTAAGTTATTTCTTTGCTAATTCACAAGGGAACACAAACAACACTTGACCTCTCATTAAACCTTTGTCACACCTGTAGCACTTTCCTTGGACCACCCGGATCTAGGCATTTCCCGCTGACCTGAAATGCATTTCTTCTACCCTGCACAGCCTAAGGGACACATCTATCAAAATACATTTTACAACATCCTTCATAATTACAAACATGTCAACAAATATGAGAAACAGCATCCTATTAATACAATAAAAATGACAGGCATGGATTATTATGTGAAAATTTAAGGAAAAAAAGCAGGTCCAAGCTACAAAACTATTAAAATTAAAAGAAGGACATGAAAAAAATGAAGTAAAAGAAAATGTTTTTAATACTGATTATTACTAACAAAATTTCACTTTTACCCTTCAGGCCGACATTTAAAAAGCTATGAAAAAAAGATCTATGCATTATGAATAATATGGTATTGATCAAATCTTACAATATCTAGCTTAAGATTTGCATAATGTATAAACCCTTTATAAATAATATTCATTCACAAGGGGGACACCACCAGTTTTGGAGAGGAAAAGTACTTAAAGTGTATAGCCCGCTCATAAGCCTAAAAGATGTATAACCCACTCATAAGCCTGAAAGTTGTATAACCCAATCACAAGGCCTGAAAGGTGTATAACCCACTCATAAGCCTGAAAGGTGTATAACCCACTCATATGCCTGAAGGGTGCATAACCCAATCATAAGCCTGAAGGGTGTATAACCCACTCATAAGCCTGAAGGGTGTATAACCCACTTACAAGCCAATTCAATATCAAATCATATTCAAGGCTTTCCATGATTACCAAACCATATTGTGCCAATTAATTAGTATATTTATATTTAGCTTTAATATGTACACCCTAATTATAAATAATAGGTATGTAATTATTTTGCTTCGGAATAATTCCGACTTATAGAGATGCTATATTTGGTTACAGGAGAAAGGACAAACCCTTAAAATCACATAGTCCGACAGGCAATTTTTAAATTTAACCAGTTTGCCATTCGATGCAATACAAAAATATTTGCATAGTTGGTCCCATTTTATCCTACGATGTTAAATCTCAAAGCCTTAACAGGCCATGAACAGGCAGAACACAAAGAAATAATTTTAAAGTATGATTAAGGTGGATACTGCTAATTTACCTTGATCTTCCAGCTCATCAAGAAACAGTTCTCCAAACATTCCCCAGAAAGCTTTTCTAAAAACATAGTAGAGCAGTTTGATGTTGATCTGAGCATTGGGGTACAACACCGACTCAGATGAAATGGCATAGGCCACGAAGCAGATCAGAATAATGACAAGGAACTTGGCCAGGGTAGAAAACTGCCAAGATAAAAATAGGGGAATATAATATAATAAATACAAAATATTCAGTTCTTGTATCAGCAACCGCATCAAGGCTACATGATTTCAAATAGCTTTTATTTGTGTGTGTTCCTGGCTTGAGGGTTTCATGACTAAATGAAAAGAAAAAAACCAAAACAAAAAACTGAAAGGAACAGCAAAAAAAGACAGGTCTTCCCTTTATAAAGCAGAGCAAAACAGCACAAAGTATGATAAACGAAAAAAAATAAAGAAAAAAGGAGAAGAAAGATACATAAGCATTAATTAAAAATAATAATAGCTACCGGTACCAAAAATTTAGCACATTAAAATAGATTTTTCTCATGCCAAAAATGTCTTATATCATTTCTAAATGGCTTTTTTGTGTGTGTGGAGAGTGTGTTCCTGAATATTTGATGTCATAAAGAAGCTACCTAAATAACAATCATTCAATTCCAACTAGAAACATAGTAAAGTGTTTTTATATCTACATATAAATAAGCACCTTTAAATCAAGGATCCTTGAAAGAGTTTTAAAATGCAAACAATGTATTATTGACCTGCAAACATCCAATTTAGTCTCAACAGCTCTTTGGCTGCTAAACGATCACTAAAATATTTACCAACGTGTTTCAGATGCCTGACAAGGTCCCAGGGAAACATTCGACTAACAATTACAAAATCACTCACCATCCCAAGAATCATGGCAACGATAGGTCCCAGGAATCGGCTGGCGTAGAGATACTTGAAGAGACGCAGTGAGAATGCAATGTAGTCCAGACTAAACAAGAGCCGGGACATCTCCATCAGAGCTGGCAGGTAGGATCTGTAGTAGCCCGCCACACGGAAGATCCAGGCCAAGACAAACATAACCACTGAAACAACTTCTATTACATCAAAGATGTCTTTCACTGGTTTGCTGAATGGACGCTGAAAAACAAATTATAAACTCAGTTATTATTTGTATGTACAAAATATATGGCGTCAATGGCATAAAATATATGATATATCTTATCATATGACAATGTTTCTATACATTTTTTGTTCATAAATCAGAAAGGTGTGGTTTTATCATTCACTGACAATTGTTATTTAAAATTAAATAACAGGAAAGGCATTCTTGTTTTTTTTTTATACCTGTTATAATGAATTTTAAATCAAAGTGTTGATTTGGTTTATTTCAAACTGTATACATTTCATTTCTAAATGCTATATTGGTGCATTTGGAAAAGAAAATCTGATTAATGTAATATGCAGAGGCTAACTAAAATCTTCTTCCAATAGCCTGAAATGGTAATTGCTAACTTGAATTCTTTTCTGAGAACAGGAGGATATTAAAGATTTTTTGACCAGATCAATATTAATGGCCAGACGCAGTGTTGTCTACACGCACAGACCCCAAATGCAGCATGTGAATTTGTTGAATGCTGTATTAAGTTCATATTATTACTTCATTCAGTGGCCTCAGTTACTGTTAGAACAGCCCAGGTCAGACAAGTACTTTTAAAATAAATAATGAAGAAGCTTTGCTTTATAATCATAACTAAGTCCTTTGGTATACTGTGATTAGTGCATCTTACCACGTAAATCATTTGAAGGGGTTGTGCTATATTAACAAAATTATGACTAATATTATACTAAGCTGTGAGCAGTGCATCGTACCATGTATATCAGTTGCAGTAGAAAAGTGACAATCCAAGCCCAGACCAGCCACTCCAACCAATGATAGGAGTATGTACTCAGGACTGAGACAAGCATGACTCCATACAACCCAAGAAATACAAGGTAGCTGACCTATTGATATGGCAGTTAGGATGAAGAAAATATTAATATATTTTGAGTAGCCAGAAATTAGGAACAAAATCATTTAAGGAATATAATCTTCATAAAAGTGGAATGAAAAATGAATATTAATTTTTAAAAATATACACAAATGTATATTATACATTAGGACACATTAAACTACCCCCTCCACATGTAACTGAGGTTTTAAAAAAATGTCCATAAAAAGATGTCTGAAAAGCTAAGGTCCTATTGAGTTGTTTCATGAGTGGTGGGACAATTTGAAATCAACTTTCAAAGCGCAACAAAATTTAGTTATATTGGTCAGTGAAATGGTTTAATGAATTAGATGCCACTTGGCTGATCGTTATGATGAGGCCTACAAACGCAGATACATTTTTAAAGGCAATGAAAGCAATCAGCTTGGCTTCTAATAGACTTGCATTAGTAAATAAGCTTGAGAGGACTGCCACTGATAAAAAATAAAAATAAACAAATTTACCAAATGTTAAATCTGGTGGAATATATTTATACTGTCGGACTTTATTTGAGCGAGAAGCCAATCACTTTTATTAATAATTGTATATAAATTAATTAATTATTTAAATTTTTTTAACAAACAACATACAAACAAATTTTTAAAAAAACATACAAAACTGAGGTAGAACCTGTGAGCCGGAGCAATTGACGTCCAGTTGGATTCTTTCTTATTTAACTTGATGGAATATGGATCAGCAGAACTAGGTGAAAACAAATAATTAATTAATTACTTATGTAAAAAGAAGATCATTAAGACACTGCATGAAAAGATCAAGTCTAAGTGTCCACTGAAAGGCTGTACTTGTTATGAATAATTCTTACAGAAAAGCGAGAATATTTATATATATATATAAATATATTATATATATTACATAATATATATATACATTACATTGAACTGAATAAATTAGCACAGATTTAAATAAAATGTACATGATTCCTACACTTGGTTGCATTTGTTATATTTCATGAATAATAATTACATACATAATTTTCATACATTTCCATGCTCCTCAGTCATCAGTCATCCCCCCCACTGTTATGATTAATTAACAATGAAAAACACCTTCATTATCCTATTACATCGAACAACAAAAATTATAATAAGTTAGAACATATCTCCCCTCATTATTCTGTATTCTTTTTAAAAATTCCAATAACTCAGTAGAAGGAAATTGAAAATTAGATTAACATGCTGCATTCATTTTACTTTCTTATGGTTACTGTATGTTTACCAGGCAATGGATACATTCTTAAAAACAAAAACCTTGCCATAATTTTAGTAATTTTTTCAAAATGTAAGGTTCTTGCATTAAAGTAAAGAATCTTTTTTTAAGATTACAATTACTTTGCTTAAGAAACTATTCTTAGAGTTAGACTACTTACTTCTTGTCTCTGAGAGGCTGAAATTATAGAAAACATATCCAAGCTTGATTAATAGTCTTAAGAGTAGACTTAATTTCAATGATAACAAATTCTGACCACATTATTTTAATACAAATGCATTATGTTGCTATTTTTAATAGAAAGCTGAGGATTAGATTTTTATGGAGATTGTGATGACCTACCTTTTCAAACCACAGGTGCTCACATAAATCTATGGCTGGGGTCTCTGACAGGAACTGTTCATTCCCGGTGGCCAAAGCTATTTCAATGCACCTTGCATTGCCCCATTCTGAAATTTTTTGCACCAGCAGCTGGAATGTGCTGCTCTTGCTCTTCCCATAGCTGTTGTTGATGGCATCAATGGCCAGTTTCTGATAGGTGCTGTCAAGGAATTTAAACTTTGTCAGAATGGTCAAAAACATGTAAAAGAACCACCAGTGAATCATTTACACATTAAATATTTTCTACATGTGCACTTGAATTTATAATACTGAAATGATCTGTCAATAAAATCTAGATTATCTCTATGTACAGGCTGATTGAACAAGATCTGAAACAATAAAGAGCTATTGAAATTTGATAAAAATGTAATTTTGTTCAACAGAGATTTATTTTAAACTTAATTTTTTTTTTTTTCAATATTTTTAGACTGTTGATCTGATTTCCTATAAATAAGGAGTAATAAGGCGAGAGACTGCAATCAGGTTAGTACAAAATAAAATGATTAAAACAGAGTAGGGTTAAACCTGAAAAAATACACGCAACAAAACAGCGAACGTGTCGGCAGAAAGCCTTCGTCAGCGAACAAAACAACAGAAAAATTGGTATAAAAATAAGAAATAGCACTTAGCTAGAAAGTATTATCGCTGACGAAGGCTTTCTGCCGACACGTTCGTTGTTTTGTTGCGTGTATTTTTTCAGGTTTAACCCTACTCTGTTTTAATCATTTTATTTCCTATAAATAAACTGTTCCAATGATAGCAAATCTTATCAAAAGTATGCCTTAATTTATACCGTACTTTTATAGTGGTTGTATTTTATTTTACTCAATTCGCCAATAATTAAATTACTTTTGTGAATATGATTTTTTTAAAATTGGAACAAATTTCCACATGAACAAATCTCAGTTAAATAAATTTCATTTTGAATAAACATCTGCCCAAATAAATTTTGGCTCAGCAACATTCCTTTGTAGAAATTGGTTATGTACAAATTTCATGTAACACAAGATAAGAGTTTCTCATTAACAATAAAAATCAAACCAAAACCCCCCCTTTTGATAAATTAACAGGTATGACAAAATTATGGTAAGTCAGTTTTCCAAACATTATCTGTGCCCCAAACCCTTGAGACGTAGAAAAACAAGATCATGGCTCCTATGGAATAGAAACATAATTAGACCTATGGCTACTGCTTTAAAAAAATTGTACCAAATTCAAATTTCATTAAAATTTTTATCATATCAAAGTATGTTGTTTATCTTTTTTATACTCTTCATATTTCTTTGATTCAGCTAATCATTGGCCATATTAATGCTAACTTACATCATGCTCTCTTGTAAAACAATGGCAGGACTATTATCCGACCCTTTCATGTTCTTGAACACCCCATAGGCGATGAGAGCTGCTGAAATGGGATGCTGAGGTGCAGGAAAGGTAAGTTTAAACAAATTATTGGCTCTGATATAAAGTATTTAGTTTCAAACAGTTTATCAATGATATGTCATAAAGTTTATCAAAGTCTCAAGAATCAAGCATACAGTTAAGGATTTTCATTTGGGTTAACACTTAAGCTTGACATTGTTTTTTATAACTTACATGACAAATTGTTATTTCTCAGGAGCAAATCAGACAGCTTTGCTGCTCATGCATCAGAACGTTTTTAAAAAGTCAATGCCCTTAAAAGATTGAGAAGCACTGAACTAGAAACACTAAGTTTCATCAGCAAAGCACTTTAAAAAATAATATATAATGACCACTTTAGCTGAGATTTTCATAAACGCATTGTTAACACAAAAGAGAAAAAATCGTCTTACACGGATATATGTCCAGTACACAATCGATGGTTCCAGCTTTTTCTCTAAGATGGCATCAATAAACAGCAAGTCTGCCATTTCATACAGTGGGGCGCCTGTATGATTAAAATATGACTTGGTTATTACAAACTGATGGGGTCGGTTTGGTCATGTATGTACAATATTACCAATCAGGCTTTTCAGGGACAACATTTAGACGGACATTCAGTGTAAAAAAAACACCAAAAAATCCTAAAGAGAACTGGAACAGAGCAAGGAGTAGGATATGCAAGATAGAAACCAGATCCTGCAGACAGCTCCCTAGTTTTATCCCTGATCCTCAGTAAAAATATTTTTAAGGAAAGCACATTTATTTATTTCAAATGCCCTTACTGTTTGCAACCTATATTTTCAAATATTTTTTTGTTTTAGTATTGTCCACAATAATCCATTAAGTTTAAGCTTGGCAGGGACATTACCTGTTTTACTGTGCTTTTTCAAAGTTTCAGGGAACCAATCACCAATTATTTTCTTGAGCTCCAACTGAAAATGTTTTTCTATTTCAGCAACTTCGAAAATGGCAGTAGGCTGTAGTGGGTTAGAGAGTGAATCAGTGCCGATTAAAAAAAATTAATATATATCTATATAAGTATTCATTACATAAATATACAGTAAATTTCTTGAAGAAAGGGTGAACATTTTATTATTTCCCCAGCAGTTAAAAAAAAGAGGATGAAATGCTATTCTAAATGGATAAAATTTTCTGGTTTTATAAATTTTAACCACTTTGACAGCCTCGCAGTGCAATAGTTGCCTTATAAACAGGAGGTAGTCAATGCAACGTGTATGAGATTGGACCTGGCTATGTATATTATGAAGATGGAGGATATGACCAAACATTAGTTTCTTTTTCTCATTAATATGACAAAGTTTCTTTCACACATTGTGACTTCAAACGGCACATCAATTTTTTCTTCAAAGAAAAAAAAGTTAATTTTAATCCATCATTCATATCGTATGGTCTAACTAAAAGTGCAAACATAGCACTGCTAGCTAGAGGAAATAGTCACAATTTATCCACTCAAAGACCAAACTGTGACTGCCAAAAGCTTCTGCACACACACAAAGCAAGTCTAGACAAGTATATATCACAGATACATCATTGACATAATGAACACATAAAATACATGACATGTCTCATGGCAACAATGAACGTTCATTAAGGAATCTAACACTCATGAGACTCCGCACAATAGAACACATGCAAACAACTAAATGAGTTATTTGTCTTCCACTTGACTAGGAGTGAGAAGACAAATAATCCCATCAAAGAAGCAATTTTTTGGGCTTGTGTGTAAAGACAAAACAAGCTTCACAAAAGTAAATGCACTTTTCAAATTGTAATTCACCTTTTGCAATATTTAATAATAATAAAATCTGAAAAAAGTGGGAGCAAAATTTATCAGAACTGTGAGATAAAAATGCCAAAATTGGCCATCCATATGTTACATACTGACTGAGAGGAGGTTTTCGATTTTGGAGATTTTGCTTGCGCATGCACATGCATCTCGGCAGAAAGTAAATACCTTTATTCACAAATAAAAAATAATTTTGCAATTTATGCAGAAAATTAACGCGAAATAGCGTAAAACAATTTATGGGGTGGAACTTTTGTATGCTCCATGTGCGTGACATATTCAGTTAGCTTTGATCTACTAAGCCAGAGGTTCCTAGCATTATTTTGATTTTAGGAGCCCTTACCAAATTTAAGTTTTCACCAGGTGTACAATATCAAATTCTAGCAAGTAACTCCATCAAGATAGTAATTACATTTTTATAAAATAAAGGACTGCTTCATGCGCTAAGCCTTGAATAAAACAATCTAAGCATCCAATGGTAAAGTGGCACATATTCCGAGAACCCCTGGGTCTGCCACAACCCCAAAAAGCAGTAAAAACATGTGACAATTTGTTTATCATAATTCTTTAAATAAAAGTGTTTTTTTATTAATAGGATGGGAGGAATGAAATATTTGACTTTTTTTGTTTACATACCATATAGATGGCCACAAACGGCTTTTTGTTTTTCAAAATCAGAATTTATTTAATGTTTGTTTATTACCTTCATATCTGGTCCTATTTTACTTGCTCCGGATGCCTGAGAAAAATGGAACATTAGCAAATTTTCAATGACAGCTTTGTTAGCGAAGATTCTATCCAAATAAGCTGTTAGATTTTTAAAATCAAATTTGTATTGAGTTTTTTAATAATGGGAGTATAAAATAGTGCACTTGCCAAAGGCTTAAAAAGGTTTTCACAATTCCGAAAGTTATACTTATTTTGTTATCTATTAACAATTGAAAGATGCATACAAAAAAAAAAGCGAAATTCCAAATAAAATGGACTAACCAACTGCATCCACTAATAGTTACTTTGACTATGGAAAGCTTTGTTTACAGTAACAGATCAAAAGGTCAATTTTTTATATAAATGTCTCAATTTTTGCATAATACAAAAATATACAGTCATACAAAAGTTTGTGTAATATTTAGAAATACAGATTTAAAAAATAGCAGATCTGCTTGCAAATTTCCTCTCCATAAAACTGTCATTGTCCTGTTTCACAGTAACACATGCTAAAATTTAATGAAACTTACTTTTTTCTTGATTTGAATTTTGCTACTCCATGGTTCCTTGAGAGCAAAGTAAAATAATATAAATTATGTGAAATAATGTTTTGCCATAGAGATCTTCGCCCCAAAAATATTATAGAGATAATGGATGAAGAAAGAAAAACCTGAATTAAGTAGCTGATGTTTTCTCTTCCTGTGTATTTATACTCATGTAAAACTTACTGTAGAGAAGAGCTCAACTATAAAGCATTCTGTGACAATCTCTGTCAAAGTTAATCCATTGAGACACATATGTGTGATGAAAGATTGGCGATACAGCCTGATTGCTGTCATAACTGCATTTTTTATCCAATCCTGAAAATGTATACCTTTCCTTACATACATGTGTTAAATTTAATAAATGACAGTCAAAAACATAAATGACGTTCACAAACATAAATGACGGTCACAAACAAAAATGAAAGTCACAAACATAAATGACGGCACAAATATAAATAATACCTTTCCTTACATACATGTGTTAAATTTACAATGAAAAAAAAAACAAAAAAAAAAAGATAATGTAATTAGGGTGAAACGTTATTTATTTGAGGCTTTTTTTAAGAACTTTAAAAATTAAAAATTCTTTAAAAAAAAATTATTAAAATTTTTTTTTTTTTATAGCTAAGCAAAATAATCAAAGTTTACATAAGACACAATAACGTTTTTAAAAATAATGAATAGCAATCTAAGTTTCAGGCTAATATGTCCGAACACAGTGATCGGCAAACTCAATGATGAAAAGAGTCCAATATCAGCAGCAGAGTGATAACAATTTTTAGAGTAAGATTTCTTTTCAAGAACCTGTAAAGAGCCATGTTTTTCGGACTTGAAAGGGATTTGTGGCCAACTGACAGAGCTGCACTCAAATTGCCAAAGAGCCGCATGTGGCTGACAATTTGGGATTTGCCAAGCCCTGTCCTAACATAACATGTTAAATATTTTCTAAAGAGTTATAAATATTCCCAGAAAGATTTAAATCTAATCATAGAGAAAATAATATTATCAATTAATTTATATTCTTACCTTTGAGTTGGTATTATCTGCAGCAACTGGTGTTGTGTGACCAACTGGTGTTGTGTGACAAACAGATATAAGAAGGTTGAAATTTTTTATAACTTTATTTAGTTAAGTACCCAGTATTTTCAAATTTAATAAACAACATTGTCTAGTTGAATCAATGTATATTTAAAGTCTACATCAAAGATTAGAAACCTATGGCCCATTGGCAGCATGGCTCCATTGAAACATTTAACCTAGCCCGCAGTACCTAATGAGAATTGGATTGGTGTTTTAATAAAGTTTAAAAATTGTTATTTATGATCACTAAAATTCATTTTAAATTAAGAATCTCAGTGAAAAAATTGACAAAAATCACAGCAAATTAAAAAATGATTCCATACTAAAAGACCAGCACTATCTGCAGAATTTATTAGTAATTGAGTAAGTCAGAGTTTATCTGTAAGTTATCATCTAACTATAATTTTTTTTATTTGGTAAAAATTTGTTTTAGAACTTGAGATTCCTAGAACATCATCACTGATCTTGCAAACAAATATTACAGAAAGCTCTATTCTCCCCTGTTTTCTTGTATTCAAAAAGATTCAACAAAAATTTTTTCAAGTTATCCTTACTTCAGTTAATTATAGTTTTTAACGATTAAAGTAAAAATATTAATGTTTTATCAAAAATTTTAATAAACAGGCATTGATTTTAAGGCATTTATAACTTACATTTAACAGGAAGTCCATGTTCCAAGTGATTTAGGTGTATGCACAGAAGATATAAGTCAGTGATAAGGGTACTGTCAAATTCATCTTTGTCCAGAACTAATAACAGAGATAATTTAAAACAGTAGGGAATAGAAGAAAATGGTTCTAAAATTATATTATGATTTTCAATGGAAAATGTTAACAATTGCTAAACAATTATTTTCATTCTATTCTTAAAAGTATAATAGCAATTTGCAATGTGCAAACACTATGCAATAAAATATATCTTATATCCCAAGACATGATAATCAAATTGACATATTATAATAAAATAATTCCTTTACACAAAAATTGCTTTTAAATCTAAACCACTGGAACAAAAACCAAAAAAAAAAAAAATTATTTGAGTGCAATAATTATTAATCTGCAGAAGTTATTTAAGATTATACAATATAAAATGGATTTAAAATAAAAGTAAACGACATAGAAAAGTTGAGGTAAGTCAATCCCCTAGCTTTGCTTTATAGATTTAAGTCATGAATTTAGTAGTGTATCTGAAAAATTGATAAAGGTATTTTTTTTTAAAATAGTGTCTTCATAATTTAACTCAAAAATTTTAAATGTCATGAAATTTCAGGTCTCTATGACTTCTAATAAAAAAATTTATCCCAATTTAAAAGCCAAAAAAATAACATATTTACCTATGCGGGAGGACGAGGGTTAAAATAAAATATGAACAATCAAATAACATTTCCAAGGCCCAAACATGGAAATAATATTATAATTTTGCTATATTTAGTATGCTTACCATCAAAAATTTGTTTACCAATGTTGAAGGAAGTCTTATTCTGTTTCAGATCAATGTACCATTCCTTTGGTGTATTTTTATTTTCACTGTAAAAAAAAATGAAGAGAAAAATTTTAATTGATGATGAAAAATAAAATTAAAAGTGCAGAATAAATTTTCTTTAATGGTATTTTAGTATGTAATGTATGTAAATGCTTATTTATATTAAAAACCTTTAGTTTTGTTTTCTGACATGATCAGTAATAAAACAACACAAAAGTATGTTTCCCTTGTTATGGTGCTGTGCAAATAAGGTATAAAGAATATACAAATTTTAGTTTGAGTTAATAGTTATATAATATACATGAAGATGCTAATATTATTATAGTATAATCTATATAAATACCTTGTATCAGATATTTTCCCAACTTGCTGTTGAGAGAAATAAATGGCCAATTAGACATAGAATTGGGCTATTAAACATGGACACCTCTCTAATAAACATACTTCCATATAAGTCGATTGTGTCTGATTTAATTATCTACTTTCATTCACCACAAGTGAGTTGAAGAGGCTGTCATATAGTGACTAGGGAAACCCTGGAATTAAGAGGAAATCTACACTGGCATGGGGCCCCATTTGTAAACTAATGTTTCGCTCCAGCATGTGTTTGCTTTATTTGCCAAATCATTTTTTGGGCTCAGTTTTCATTGATCCAAAAACCATAGCTGAGCTGGGATCATAATGAAACTTGTTAAAGATTTTGTTCACATAGTATCTTTTAACTTCTAAAGGGAAGTCACACCTTGTTTTGTTTGATTCTCAACGCTGTTACATATGATGAAATAATTTTAACAATCTAAACAAAAATATTTTGGGGAAAATATAGGAAAAAGTAATTATGTAATATAAAAACCTTGTTTTTATTTTACCTTGATAATAATTTCAGGTACTTCATCAGGTATCCCAACGGAAATATTTTTAAAATTCTCCCCTAGTTGTTTACGGCCATCCTCGACAATGATTGCACACTGGAAAATATCTTTTCAGAAATGGAAAATTTATTAAAATTGTGGTTAAGACAATCTCAATACCAAAGTTTAAACTACGGTTTGGAAATTGGTGACTTTGGAGCTGAAAGTATAATATGTAATGTGTAATGACAACATGGTCATGACTAAAATTCAACAACTCTGAGACATAAACACATCCATATGTAAAGAAAAAAAGGAAAAAACTAAATAAAATTTGAAATTTGTAAGATAAAAAAATAATTATGGGGAAAACAATATTACCTAATCTAATTAGTACTAAATTAATTTATTGAAGAGTAATAAAAGCTGCTTCTATTTAATGGACTTAAAAAATTACAAAATGGTAGGTAAATTGATTAAAAGTTAGCATGGATCAATAAAACCCATTTTAAATCTCATTTGCAAGAAATCTATTGTTTCAGAAGTTTTGGATATTACTGTTAATATTTAATGAAAAAGCAATAGAACAGTAAAAATCACAAAATTATATAACACATATAAAAAAAATTAAATGTATTATTTTAACATGATAAAAAATGTAAGCAATAATAATATACACAAAGTCTGAGTGTCATACACTAAATAAAAAAAAACTTTTTGTTAGACAATATTTCAAATAATTTAGCAAACATTTATATAAGATCTCAACCCCAACTCCTTTTGATTCTATCAATAAAAAAAATGTATCACTTATCTGGGATTTCACCATTTTGTTTAGAGGAAAAAAATGTTAGCAATTTAAATATGAAATTCAATAAAATTTTGATATAATTTCTACTACTTGAGTTGAAACAGAAAAAATATGAATATAATCTGTTTATGATACAATAACAATGAAACCTAATGAAAATTATAAGAGAAAATAAATATTTATGACTAAGAGGAAAAAAGACAACTTTTAATAAAATTTGTAACTTATTTTTGTTAAATAATATTTATTAAAATCTATTTCAAAATAATAAAAAAAGTATTTTAAGACTTCTACAATTGTGTATTAAATCAAGGAATTAAAAAGATTGCAAGAACCAATTAGAACAAAATAATTTGTGTCAAATTTGATTTTTAAAATGAACTATTTTGAGATTCTTAAACGCTTTTGTAACTGTTTCAAACAATGATAAAACTGCAGTTGATTATAAAATTAAAATATCTTAAATTGACCTTGTATTTATATAACCCATCAAAGAGGGGTTTTTAAATCTAAAGAATTATGAGGCACTTAGAAATCAAATAAATCTAAAAGAATCTCCACACAAATTACTTGGCCCAGATGTTCCAGTAATTATAGGAGGTTTTGGTGATATTAATGGTCCTGTCTCTGTGCTACTATTGTTCTGAAATGGATTGAAAACAACTTACATTCAAACAAAGAGATCATTCAAGTTTTTTGGAACGGTGTAAATTTTAGCACAAAATTATGTTGTTCTTTTTTTTGAGGTTGCACTTGAGCTTAACAGGTGGTTCATGAAAAATGCTAATAAGAATGATACAATGAAAAATGAAAATTAATAGTGAATTGAAATTTTCAGTAAGTTATTCAATCAGGTTCCTGAAAATATTGACCCATTTTTTTTACTACAACCATAAAGCGCTAGTTTAATTTAAATGAAAGTTGTTTCTTAAGTTCATACATTATCATTTTTTTTTCAAAGACAAGCAAATGGATTAAATGTTAAAAATAAACTACCGTATATACTCGCATATAAACTTTTATCGCATATAAGCCGACCCCCTAAAACTGCTTTAAAATGGCCAGTTTTTGCCATTTTAAAGCAGTTTTACTCCATATTTTTGGTTCATAGAAATGTGTTACTGTAAAGATGTAAAAATGCTTACTTTTATGTTACATACCAGTTTGTTTACCTTTTGGAATGACACAAAAACGTGTTCTGCTCTTTCCACATTGTTTGTTATAATAATATCTGAACTTCGGCTCATAAGCTGTTCACAACTAATGATTAATGAAGTATATTTAGAAAAAATTATAAATTTTTATATGAATATGTTTTACGCTCATATAAGCCGACACCCTGATTTCAGTATTGTATTTTATAGTTCTAAATTCAGCTTATATGCGAGTATATACAGTATATCTAGATAAGTAGTGAAATCATGTTTCATCAGCAATTCTCATGCTGCAAACAAGGTTTACACAAAGCAGGACAAAATCAAAGTCATTATTTTATACTATTGACTTTGTTAACATCCAGATTCCTAATAGCGAATAACAGGAAGATAACAATCTTATTTTAATGCTAGTTTAACAGAGACAAATTATTTTTACAAAAATAAAAATTACATGTAAGGTATATTATTTTCCTAAACATAACTAAGGAATTATATCTGATTACCTGCCAAGAGAAAACATTCATTTTGTTTTTTATAGCACCAAATCTCGGGTCATCAAGAAATTCTTTCATGTCTTGTACAAATTGTGTATCCCCTTCGACAATCAGCAAAGATTCTGCAGAAAGAAAATGAGGTGTTTTAAAAAAAAATAAATTAGAGATCTATCCTTTAGCTCATTGAAAAAATCTTAACTTTAAATAAGTATGCAATAATGCAAAAATTAACCATTAGTTGATAAAGAGATGTGCATACCACTTTCAAAAATAGTGTCCAGCAATGTTTGAATAAACCTTCTTCCATAGGGATTCTTTAAAGTATTGTTTTTCTCTGATCCTATCAGCCAAACCACAAGCCTTGTGTACTTCAGTTTGCTGTTTTTCTAAATAAAAAAAAAAAAAGAAATACACCAATTGGAGCAAGAAAATATTAAAATAACCCTGCTCTAATTCTACTTATGTATAAATACTAGACAAAAAGTTTCTGCAATAATTAATAATTGTGTTAACCTTGAAGCATAAACAACAATCATCCATGTTATCTTCAAAAAGAGTCCTTTAAGAGCACTATCACTCTTATAGAAAAACATTAAAAAGTTTTTTTACAAAGCATGTTACAGCTTTGAATAAATATTATCCCATCTTATTTACAGCTTAGATTAAATATTATCATAGTTTATTTACAGCTTAGAATCAATATTTTCACAATTAATTTACAGCTTACATTAAATATTTTCACAATCTATTTACATAATATATAAAATAAGATCAGTCTATTTTTGAACTTACATTTCCAATAAATATTACTAAACAAAAATGTAATAAAATAAGTTAGAGATCAACAGAATTTTAAAATGACTGGCAATCTTATGTGAGTTGTCCACCTTATTATTGTCTGTATTTACAGCCTTTATTTTCTCTTCCACTGTTTGAAACCTCTGATTGAAATCTCTTGGTTCTTTAGAGGCTCCTTTCTTAATATTGTCTGCAGTCTCTAATTTATTAAGCCGGACAAGCTCAAACTGAAACATGTGCAGTTGTATAAATGTATGTCATTTTGTAAAGGAAGTGGTAGGTATCAAAGTTTAGGTCTTTTTAAAACTGCATTTTATGTCTAAAAAATTATTAAATAACTCTCTCACCTGCCATTCAGTCTTTGGGATATACTTAGGTGGGCCAGGTACAGAACTGTAAGAATAATAACTTTAATATTAACACATGAATTTTAAATGATATATAAACAGAAAATGGGAGAAACAAGTTAATAACACTGACAAAATAATGACATTAGATTTATCATCACACTCATTAGCAAGTATAGATTTGGAAGAGGGCCCAAAATGTAGGGGTTCAATAAGGGTTGGAAGGTTATGTGTTACGCACTGGTTTCTAATGTGAGAAATTAATCTCTTGTTTTAAATTATGGCTTGTTCACACAGTGCACAACATAGAACAATACCATAGAGAAATGCAAAAATAAAGATATGACATGCAAAAACAGTTGCCAATTACAATTAATAAGATTTAATTTAGTAATAAAACAATTACAAAACAAAATAAATATAATTACAAATCCTCAACTTACAGAGTATGGGAAAATCTTGTACCAGTACACAATTAGTAAAATATGCCAATTAACAATGATGAATGCGAAATAAACAAATATGAGCACACAATGAATAATACAATTGTCTCGTAAAGTTAATAAACACGACAGATCAACTAAGCCATGTCCATTGCGAATGTCGTCTCATGTGGGGTCAACCAGAGTGCACGGCGCGAGGAAAGTGTGCTACATAACATTATGAAAATATTACTTTTTGGTGCATGCTTTATAATATGGGTGTTCCCTTTTCAAGGCTTTTGTGTTTTTAATCATCTTCAAATGTGAGCAACATATAAACAGGCTTATTCTAAGTAAAAATAGTACATCAACAGAGAAAAAAGTTTTTGAAACATTTTACTTAGCTGCTATTTTATGAGACAAAGTTAGAGGTTGAAAACAAAATAGTTTATTGCTTTTTGAAATTTTCATATAATCATATCGCCTTTTACTTGTAAAGATAAATACTTACTCATCATGAGGCGCATTTAAATTTATTTCATTTATGGATATTTCAGTCATACCGGATGTCTGAAAAAGATAAAGGAAATGCCATTAATTTCAAACACAGGATTACAGACTTTTGGCACAATTTTTACTAACTTCAAACAATAATATTATAAAAAGAAGAAAGGGGCATATTAATTCATTAATGGTATAAGAAAACAAACATCATTGCTGTAAACTTTGCTTTACTTCCCATGTCTAAAGTTTTGTGTAAATTAAGCCATTGTCAGCATATCACACTTTGGATTATCTGTCTATATACTTTCAAATGATATTTTAATTAAACATGGAAGTTGAAGAGAAGCGGCAGTTAGGGCTGATGATAATTTGAATTTTAAAAAAAGAATTTTGGTGGTATAATTAAAAATACCAATATCAAGAAATATGTTTAAAATTTGCATTGCAAAAAAAAAAAAATAGAAGATCAAAGAAATGAGCAGACCCTCCAATGTGTATGTGGATAAATTTTAGTTTTATATATAATTAAAATTACTTGCATATGAACACACAGTTGAAACAATGGGTACAAAGTAGAATTCCACAATATGAAACATATAGGGCATATTATCCATAAAAAAAAAATGTGTTTTAAATAAGTTTACAGCATAGAAATTGTTTTCCAGAAAGACAATTAATTATATCTTAACCGACTTACATTACTCTTTGATCTTTCTAATCGAGATCTTCGATTTTCAAGGACATTGCCTAAATCATTTGGTAGTGCTGGCTTCCCATTCAGTTGCTCATCCATTTTATTTTATTTTATTTAGTTATTGTAAGTGTATAGTTTCTTATTTTATCTGATGCAAAGAAAAACATTGATTTTATGCTTCTAGAAAGTTCAACCCTGGACAACTCCACGCATAACATCTCTGTATGAAGGATAAATTAGAAAAAAATAAGACATTATATTATAAAATTACAATTTTTTTTTGGTTAGTGCTTTGATAGTATTGAGTTTTGCAAATGTCATGTTGTGTAACAAAATAACTGAGTTAATGAAAGACACAAAAAGTACGCTATGTTTAAAGTCTAAGTAAAATGGTACTGTCTCTCATGCTTTAATTGAATGTCAAAATACAATGTATACATTCAGCTAATACCTGACTGATGTCACCAAACTGTGCAATAAAGGTGTTGGCCTATATTTTTCTGTGATGATTAAGTTTATTAGTGTCAAAAACACTGCTAAGGCTAAGGCAAAGCCCTGAACTGTGTGACCCCATAATTTAGTCAATTTTAAAAAAATTTAATGACTTTTAAAATCATCTTAACTTAACCTTTAGTTTTGGGCCCAGCCCTAATATTTATCCTACCATTAAATAAGTAAGTATGGGGAAAGAAAGAAAAAAAAGTTGGTACACCTCCAGAAGATGAGGCGAAGGAAATCCTGAGTCAGGTATGTAAAAATTATCAAATAAATAAGAGAGCAATAGAAAAATAGATAGATTAAATTAATAAATAAAAATGCAAATAATGGTTTAATATTAATGATGGTCATCTTATGACCAATTTGAATGGCTTCTTATGTATATTTATGATATGAAAATTCAGTAAAATTCCGTTTAAATTCAAAGTAGAATATTCATTATTATTTGTAGGAATAGGTAGGCCTACTAAGTGCCACTATTCTATAAAAGTTTCAATTTATGAAAAAAAAAATTGCATGGTAGACTAAATATAGCCTAAACAATCATAAATATACTATTTATATTAAGAGCAAGAGAAGTCCTACTCATAATGAAATAGTAAAATTAACTTACAATAAAACTTACTCTTAAGTCAGGCAGTAAAGTACTAAGACTAAGACAAGACTAAAGGCAAAGCTATTGTATGCACTTAATGACCTAAATGTATCTTGATCTTATTTGAAATTACAATTTTAATTTTATCTGGAACTGATCCCTGATAACTATGTTTATGATTATGAAGTTATAGTTATATGGCTATGACTATGGACTCTATTAATAATATTATTATTATGGTATTTAATTTTTAAATTTATAGTTAAGTAAAAAGTAGGTCGGGTTCATTTACAGTTAAATTTTAATTAGTAGAGTAGTCTCAGTAGAGTGGGTCACAGTCACAGTTCAGTGGACCCCTGACCCTCCCATTCCTAATTACTAATGAGGAACAATGCCTTGCCTTAACGTTAAAGTTACAGGCTAGTCATTTAAATTACTATACTATTTAAATTATTAGGTTCATTTTTAATTAATTTTAAGAGAAAATCTAGTTGATCTAAATAATCTAAATCTAAATCTAACTGCATCTGAGCAGACTCCGAGGCCTAGTGACTAGTGAGTTGAGTACATTTTAAATCATTAATTAAATTATTATTAATGACATTAATTTTAATCCCCCATGCCCCCATTAATGTCATTGTCATTATTTATTGTTTACGTTTAGTAATCTAGAGAAGCAGAATAGAATATTAATAGGCTGAATACGCCGACTTGTTTTTGTGTTTTTTGTTTTGTTTTTTTGTTGTTGCAATAAATCAAAACTATCTGCTGTTACAATAAGGTAACACTTGTTCTAGTACTGTCAAATTTAATTGTTCTCATCCTTTTTTTAAAATAATTTTATTTATAACAGTTTCCGGGGAATTCCGATTATCGTTCAATACAAAAGTTAATTACATATTTCGCTCTTTAAGTAATTTTAATCAGCAATACAATTAATTATAAATTATTTTTTTACAACAAAAATTCGACTTTAGGGTTTAAGCCAGTGGTTCTTAACCTGGGTTCGATCGAACCCCAGTTGTTTGGTGAGTCAGTCTCAGGGGTTCGGCGGAGGTAAAAAAAAAATCCTATAAAAATATATGATATATATATTTCCTATTAAGAAGGGTTCGGTGAATGCGCATATGAAACTGTGGGGCTCAGTACGCCCAAAAAGGTTAAGAACCACTGGTTTCAGCTAATGCTAAATCTTATATTTCAAATCATGGGTAGACAGACCCTCAACATATAAGAATGACTCTTGCAGACATATGAAGTATATTAAAAGTATAGGCCTATTACAATATGGTGTAAGAAGATTTAGCACCTCAGGCCTAAGGTCCAGTCAGGGGGGGGGGGGGGGGAAAAAAAATGGTTAATCTTATCTTTTCTTCTGGTTTTTGGTGGCGAGCAAAAAGTTTTTATTAATGTTTTAATGTAATTTTAATTTACTGTAGCGTATTTGTATGGTGAACGAACGGACAGGACATCGGCTTAGTTACTTTCTCTTTATTTTCTCTTTACTTTAATAAATTTTTTGTCTATTTTTGTCTAAATTTTTTTTTATCCAATCAATCCAGGGGAGGGGGGCTAGTGCCCCCCTTGCCCCTCCCCCCCTGCGAGCTCCCATGCTTTTATGCACTCGTCTTCTTCTTCTTCTTCTGTATATTAAGGGCCCACGATCAATTTATTGATCATTTTGGCTCCTATGCATGCGAGGGGATTTGCAATGTTTCTGTGCCTGGTGTTGATGAGGATATTTAACTGACTGCCAGTGCCACTTTGTGAGGGTATCATGCACTGGCGCTTGGAAGGCCTGTGGCAAAGGACGCAAATGTGTCTAGTGTTGTCGCCTCAACTGTTCCTTTTGAAGGCTTGTTTCAGTTCCTGATTGTCGTGTTAGTTGTTGTTATTAGTTTTTGTATATTATAAATGCTAGCCGCCCCATGGAAGTTTTACTCATAGGTCAATGCCAATCTAGGTCCCTGAATTGGAAGTGAATTTAACAAATCATTGAGATCTTCGACTTCGAAGTTTTGACACATTAGTACATTAGTAATACTAACAGTATTATGTAATAAATTATAGGCTATCATTTCAGAATGTTTATAATATATGCCTAGAGAAAATTTAATTAATACATAATAATTAATTAGCATCACTGGATAAGTACTAACTCTGTTAGCGTGGTAAAATAACTTTTAAATCTAAATTAATAGTTTAGAACTGGACAAAGCAATTTTTAAATATGTGGTTGTTATATAACTTAAAAATGTAGCCTATAAGCTCAATAAAACGTGTACCTTTTAGTTCAATTAACAGACACCATTGAACGCATATTGCTGTTTACCGTTGTTGAGAAATAAAAACACGCTTTGTAGAAAGACATCTTGACATTTATAAGACATTAATTGAATCTGCTAGGCCTTCAACCACGAAGTGTCTTTTCGCAAAGCGTTGTGGCGCAGCCGTCCTATCTTCACATTGCTCCGTGTCACAGATCACCGACACAGTGACGGCTGGTGCATTTTTTATAGCGCCAAGGAGGTAAAATTTTACGAAGACTTAGCGAGCACTGCAGAGGTTCTCAAATTATTATGCTGTCATATACCCCTAACGTAAACACACAGTGTGAGAAAGTAATAGGGATTACGTTTTAAAATAGATGCATCGATGTTTTTTAATCCTTATACAGTGGGAGAAGACGGATGGCACTAATACACGTGATTCGAGTTATGTATGGACGATTTTTAAAAGAATACACATTGACATTGTTACATTTCATTTTTACATCTATTAAAGCAGACCGAATATAAACTGTGCATGGCTCAATAAATCCCTACGATCTGAATGCGTAAAAGGTTTACGAATTTTTTAACTTAACTGCTAGGCCAAACCATGACACAACGTTCGTTCACATGAACATGTAATAAATATTAAAAAATAAGCTATTCAGTGTATACGTTTTACAATGAACCAATGGCCATCTCATTGGTTTAACTGGTTTTCCATTCATGAATGTTACATGTGTCGATGAAAAGGATTTAAAAAAAAACACACACAAAAACCCACAAAATTTTCACTTGTTGAGACTGTTAATTAACAAGTCATTTCTTTAAAAAAATAATTATAAACCAAATTATAAAGCTTCGCGATATTTCGAATGATTTGGTGCTTCTTCCCCTTTCCCTCTCATCGTCACAATTTTGTCACTTAATTTAAACACACTCATAACACAAGGACTCAAAACTCGTGACACATCATCTCCATAGATGCGTTACCAGTGGCGTAACAACGGCTTGGCATTGGGGCAGTTGCCAAGGGCGCCGGCCTGCTCCAGTTCAAAAGGGCGCCGCTAAATCTCTAATCTCTAATCTCAAGGGCGCCAAAAATAAATTAGCTAAGGGCGTCAAAAACCCAGTTACGCCTCTGTGCGTTACTTCATTTATGGTGAGCCCAGCCCATGAGCATAATTTTATTGAGCAAGTTCAGTGGCTGGTCAAGAACAATTGATTAGGAAAGAAGGAACACACCTGTTGGTTGAAATTGCAAAAAAGCAACTATAACTATAGTAGGCCTTAAAATGTTGTCAATTAAAAAATGAAAATAGGCTTATGTAGGCCTATTTTGGTCTGCAATTCCAGAATTTTGGTTATGACTATGAGTAAGTCGGATAAGTTACGGGTCTCTTGTTGGCCTAGAGTTTGAGATCTGCTGGTACTCAGGTTAGTGAAAAGTCGTAAACCAGAGCAATAAGGAAGGTTGTTGTTAAATAACCGGACCTGGCAGTACTTGCCAACGCGTCACAGCTCAATGAATCCGAATCAATTACCTTTACAATTCGAGTGTCAATGCTCTTACGTTTTCATTTTTTTAAAATATTTCCATGAAAGATATTGATCGTGTAGTCAGTGGAATGATTTAATATGATTATACAAGGAGATTTATCATGTGCCAAAAAGTTTCTTCTAACTGGTGGATAACAAAATAATAAAGTTAAATACTAATTTGAATTCACATTCTGATGATGAATGTTTTAATGATTTTTGTTTCTTTTCTTTTAACTATCATAGTTAATAATGCTCATTTCATTATCACAATAAATTATTGAAAAAATCGAATATACATATTTAAACCATTTTTTGAATTAAAAGCACACTTACAAACACTCTATCATTCAGCTGCGTAGCTATGCTTAGCGCTAACCAGAGCAGTCAAAAATATTGTAGTCACTACGTTTTTAAAAATCCATATTAAATCGAATTTTCTGGAATGCCAGACCTCTAAAAATCTACAAAAGCATATATTCATTTTTTAATGATATTAATATACTATAGTATATTATAGTTACCAGAATTGACCCAATTCCATAACGAATGCTAAATGATGTTTATGATGTTAAAATGTTGGTTACTTGCTATTTGTTGCTTCATGTTCCCCTGCCTTGTTTTAGTAATAGATAACTAGCTAAAATTTAGCACGTTGAAACAAACGGCGCATATGGGTTAATGACTAACTGTAGAAAAGAACAAGAAAAACAACGCTTACACCTTTTATGAGTTATGCATTCTTTACAGGTCACACATTTAGTTTCGTATCCGCTATTAAAACATTTAAATTTGCAAGGTAAAATGTTTCTATCACATTGAAACCAAGATTTTATTTCGAATAAAAAACAATTAAAAATGAATGCAGATTTATTTATTAATAAAAATATGTAAAGTGTATGCACTGTCTGTTAGTCAGAAGGACAGCCCCCCCCCCCCCCCCCCCCNCCCCCCTCCAAACATAAATTACTGAGCGCCATAATCAGACAGTAGTGGAGAATTGCACATACCTTGGGTCCAACATCTCAAGCTCACTCTTCGTTAGCGAAAAGGTCAAAATCAGGATCGCAATAGCAGCAGCAACATGACAGAAATGACATTCTAATTCTATATTATCTCAGCTATGTTGTGGACTGTTAAATTCTTTGTCTTTAAAAGTTTAATATCATAAAAACAGTTGATTTCCTAAACAGTTAATTGCAACTCGAGATATCAGTGAATGGCTAAAAGAGTGATGAATTCGAAGAACAGAATCAGAAGCAAAAGCTTTTTCTCATGAAAGGGACTGTCACAATGCTCAGGGCTCTATATATCAAACGAGCGAACACTTAATTTTAATGCTCAGGTCTCAGGGCTCTAACAGTACTAACATCTTTTAAACCAAAGGGGCGCTTAATTTCTATAATGCCTATTTTGCACTTGGATGAGGCGTAGACTTGGATCTATAAATATAAACTATCCATCTGGACCTGCAGTTAGTTCAGGTTATTTTTTATGGCTCCTTAAACCACTTTTGAATGCTTTATATATCAATATCCCAGAGATTTGTCAGCCACTGAAAAAAAAAATATTCTGATTAACAAGGAATTAAGGATATGGTATTACATTAAGTATAATTTATAAAACAACTCATAGCAACCCTGTATTATTTTCAAGTTCAAATGCAATTAGGACTACTGTGTTTACTTAATGCAGATTTTGTTGTGTGGACATCCAAAGGAATATTTCATGAAAGTATCAAACTTCACTTTTGGAATATGGAAACAAAAGCTTACATATTTTTATCACTGTTGGCCCTGTGCAGAATATTTTGAGACGTGAGGCACGGTCCAGAATATTTTGAGATGCAAGTCCCTAGAAATTTGATGCTCCAGAAACATCAGTAACAGTGACATCTCGTCTCTGGCAGATGTTTAAATGTATTTTTAAAAATTAAACTTTGTTCTTTTCTAAATATGCACAATAATATGTAAGTAACTAATGTCATATACATGAGTATGAACATTTAAATGATGTTTATATGTTGTTAGTTTGAAGACTAGAACAAAATTCTTGGTTATTCATGAAAATTATAGGAATTATTTTAATTTATTCTAATAATACAACCGGAGCAGTTGTACATTGTAACCTCAAGTTTTGAAGAGGACATTCACGTTACAAACACATACATACAAAAAAAAAAAAAAAAAGAATTTTTTTTACATTTATATACATAAAAAAAAAAAAAATAATTTATTCTAATAAAACAACCGGAGCAGTTGTACATTGTAACCTCAAGTTATGAAGAAGAAATTCACGTTACAAACAAAAACAAAAAAAAAAAAAAAAAAAAGGAATATTTTTTACCTTTATGTGCCTCAAAGAAAAAAAATAAATATATATATGGTGGTAGGTTCTAAATAATCAATACCAGTACCGTAAAAATACAATTTGAGAGAAAACTTACTGGGTGAAGTATGGAACTCTATACTCGTACTCAAGTATTTTATATCTCTTCATTGCCCCAATAACTATTAATTTACTAACACCAATAGAAAAAAAACCCATCATATTATTAAAGTCCTTGAATCAATCTCTTAAATGGTATACTTTTTTAAATTAGTATACATGTGACAATTGTAAGAAAATATGTTAATGGAAGTTGTGTAAAATGTAAAAAAAAACAAAAATAAAAAAAACAAAAAAACAAAACTGCTTTTTAGCGGTTCGTAGTACCTACCAATAGCCCTTTCTATGTGAAGCCTAAGCTTTGCAGTTTGCTTGTTTTGTTTTTTTAATTCTTCATGATGAGTAAGCCTTTATTTGTTATTCAAAAACAACGGAATAAAATAACTCAAGTTCATAAGCATCAGAATGTCTTCCATCGTTTCCCGAATTTTGTTTGAAAAAAAAATTTTCGTCGGTGGAAAATTGATCGACGGAAATTCGATCGAACGGAACTTTGGTCGAATATTTGTTACAGTTCACTCGTTAAAAATTTGCGTTAAATTTCTGTTTGAATGAATTATTTTGTTTTACTATATTGTAAATTGCGTTCAAAAACAAATTTGACGAACATTTGATTGTGTGAACTGAAATAAAGATTCGACCAAACTTCAGTTCGATCAAATTTCCGTTGATGGAATTATAAAGAGTTTTTAAAGCGGAAAGAGTAGCTGAATTTAAACCCATTAAATCGGTATGAGATATGGACCCTTCCATTGATTACGACCGCACTTTGGGGAAAGTAAATTTTATTATAGTCGCCCGCTGTCTAGAAAAACTTTGCAGGTGACCGAAAGACACCCATACAAATGCCGTGGGGTGACTTTTTGACTTTGCATATTATTACAAATCGGTACTAAAAGGGAGAAAGTTTTTCTTCATTTTTTTCTAGAGTTCTTTCCCCTAAATTTTTAACTGCTGATAAAAACAACACCACCAGGATATAAATAATTTAATGAATCACATTTTTCATTCTTTGATTCAGTATTTGAAGTTGTTTATATTTATAATATTCTCACATTACGTTTTTCCTAATTTATATATATGATTTTTATTTAGTTGTGGCATATCTATTACAATAATTCCCCAGGCCGAGAGGATTTTTTCACTCCACAGGGACGTAACTAGTGAAAATCAGGTGAAACGCCAGTGTCATAATTATTACTTCCCTTTGAAAATATAAAATGGGTTTTCCATTCGAAT